CCCCAAAACCCCAAAACCCCAAAACCCCAAAACCCCTTTAAAAATATTTTAAAATAAATAAAGTTTATAAAATGAACATTGGACAACAAGTTGGTATTGAAAAGCTCTTCTCCAAAATAAACAAATCTCTCCAAAAGAACCCAAAGGATACGATCTCAGACACAGATTTAAACAAACTGCGTGCTTACGTGATAAAATCTCAGCGTCCCCTCCAAGCAGTAAAGCTACTTGAAAAAGAGCGTGAAGAAAGAGAAGCTGATTACAAATTCATTAAACAAAAGGAAGAAATTATCGAACAAGCTCAAGCTCTAGAGCAAGAGAAAGCTAAGTTCAAGCGTGATCAGATGGAAATGATCAAGCAGGTCAAAGACTCTATGGGCACCATCATCCAAAATGCCAACAAGAGAAAACTTGAAGAAGCTAAAAGAGAAAAGGAGAAACAGAAGGAAGTCGAAAATACAGCCAAAATTAAGGAGCTTCAGAAGGAACTTGACAAGAAGAGAATGGAATACGATGCCAAGAAGAAGCAACTTGAGAAGTATAAGAAGTACACCGAGTTCCTTGAAGAAGTCGTCAGTTCTGATAATGATAACAGAGAATTCCAGGATATCGAAAGCCTAAAGGATAGGTTCAAGATTCTGAGAAAAGAGCATGAAAATTTGACTAATAAGCAAAATGATATCAACAAGAAGATCTGGGAGGTCAAACAAGAAGGAAAGAAGAAAATGGACTCCCTTCAGAATGAACTCTATGTTATGCAAAGAAAGATGCATTCAAACCAAAATGCTAAGCTTGAACCGAAGCTATTATCAACTTTTGACACTGGAAAGATTAACAAAGAGTCGACCAATAGCATGGTTATTACTGCTGTCAACAACATGTATGAGATGTGTGTGAACCAAATGCACAAGAACAAAAAGAAAGCTTTGAACGTCAATAGTAGGCTGAGCAATGCTGAAATAGACACTAAACTTATGAAAGTATTAACTGAAAATGTCTCCAAAGACAAGTCGAGTGAGAATGGCAATTTACTGCAAGCTTTCATGAAGAAACTTGAGACAATCAGAGAGACTATCGAGGATCTCAAAGAGGTAGCTAAACTTGTACCTGATTACTCCAAAGAAAGTGTTATTACCGCTGAAGCAAATGGAACTGTTAAGAACGGAGGTATCAATTTCAGATAAATTTCAATCAAACAAGTTTAAAAAGGGGTTTTGGGGTTTTGGGGTTTTGGGGTTTTGGGG